ATTACATGATGTACTAGCTTCAGGTGCAATATTATTATTGGGTATTACTATTTCAATTTGATGTGCAGCTACTACAGGTTCTGTTGGTTCTTGAATTAGATTTGTTGTTTCAGCGGCAGCAAAATCTACTTCTGTGAATACTTCTGGGTCAAATGGAAAAATACCAGTCTTTTTAAAACCAGAACATGCATTTCTAATATTAGCTGCTTTGAYGTATGCTTCTCCAAATATTTTTGATATTTGGTGAAGTCCAACGACACGTCCAGGATGGTTTACTAACCAATAATCTAATTGTTGACTGTAAAAAGTACTTAATGGCCCCATAAATGATACATCAAGTGGTKGCAAACGGTGAGTTGTATGTGGGGGGAAACAAAGTATAATTACATTTTTCTTGCGTGCCAAATCAATTACATCTAAGTTCTTAACATGGGTCGCATGTCCATCTAATAGTAGAAGCACAGGATTTGATTCTGTAGGATTAGTATGTTTTATAAAATGTTCTAGCCATTGAACAAAAATATGTGACTGCATCCAACCAGATGGATGGCACACAACAATTGTAGCTGGTGGCGCTCCATCAATAAAATCCGGGTTCATTCTCACTCTTGGAAATATCATAAGAGGAGGAATAAAATTACCTGAAGCTGACATACAAATAGTAACCGTCACATTTTGCCCTCGTTCTGCTGATGATAATTTTCCAACCTGTTTCCTGCCTTTATGTRCAATAATCTTGGCACGACTTTTTGCAACATTTGATAGGCCACTTTCATCAACATTAAAAACTCTATCAGCAGAAAATTTATACTTATCATAGCATTGTCTTAATAACTCATAAAAATTCATAACAACTGGCTGGTTGAATCCCATTGCTCTAGCAGCTGAAGTAGGCTCTGGAGCACGTACTGACAGCTCAGTATGCCTTTTTAAAAAACCTTTTAGCCAATCTTTCCCTGAAATTAAAATTATACAAATATATTGATATTAAATAATTCAATTTTTTACACATTTGATACAATATATATATAATTGTGTTATCTTACCAGCCATGCCAGTGTTCATATTAAATGTATGTTGAATACCATTTCTATCTRCAAGCTGAAAAGCAAGTTTCCTAACACTTTGTTGAGTTAATCCAAAAAGGCGACTTTCCATGTCTTTAATATATTCAGCAAGTTCATTTTCTTGTTCGGTATTAAAGACTTTCTTATAGTTACCTAGTACTTAAAAATAAATAAATAAATCAGTAAGTTTATTAATATTATAAAGTGTAATAATGAGTGTACCTATATAAAAACAAAAATGACAAAAGATTATGTAACATATTAGAAAAATAGAAAACCTGTACCAACCTTTTGAAGCACTGCTGCCATATTCTATTTTTCCATCTTTAATTTTTTTAACTCTATCTTGCAATGTTGAATGTGGCACATTGTAGTTGGTTGATGCTTTGGTATAACTATTTTTATCGTCAATTACTGATTTAATGGCTAATAACATTGAACTCTCATCCCACGATTGACGATTCGTTTTGCGCACATAGTTGCGAACCATCTTTAATAAAAAGTAATCAAGTAAATAATTATAACACGTAATAATATAGCCAC